ATTTTATAATTTATGTGTTATGGGGTTATCTTATAAATTTATAATTTTCCCGTTCTTATATGCATGGCTAAATGTTTCGTGTGCAGTGAATTTGAATGACATCGGCTATGATTTTGTCAAGAGGCCTGTAATATCGGAGCCACTTTTTCACAGCATCGCATTGCAACAATATATACTTTTATGCTCACAGGTTTGATATTTAAGATCGAACTTTACACTGTGATTACCGGATGCAAGATGCATCTCAAGCAATGTTATCTTAATCGGTCATATTTCTAATTTGTAAGGTTCTTGCTTCCGAGGGGGTTACATATCTTTGATTTTGTCGATGCAGGAGGAGGAGGGTGGAATGAAAGACAAACCCGGGAAATCGAGAGACTTTTACCACACATGCTACTGTCTAAGTGGACTTTCTGTATGTCAACACATATGGTCGAACGACGAAGACTCCCCGGTGTTGCCTAGGGCAGTCATGGGTCCCTATTCCAATTTGTTGGAACCTATTCATCCCCTCTTCAATGTTGTCCTGGAAAAATACCATGAAGCAAGGGAATTCTTTACAAGAGACTGAGCAATAAACTCCTCGGCGGAGGAGTTCTTCGGTCCGGACGCCCGCACCACGTGACTGTCTGGCCAAGACTCGTTGGGCGGGGCCGCCTTCCGATTGCTTAAGGGCTGGATGACTGATGCATAATTTAGGCTTGTAACATTAATAATTAAGGGCATGATGTTTCTGTACTTGTATGAATCATGTATTCTTATTAATGTCAAAGAAATAATCTAATACTGCATTAATCCAATCGATTTGTTTATGTTTTCTCAGGACGAGTCTTGGTGCAATAGAAATGTTGTTTTTTTGTGACATAAATGTCATAGGTTCGGGTCGTGAAAACAGCTTCTTTGTAAAGCATGAATAAGACTATTTAAGATAGACGTTTCTCTTCTGATTCTCATGAAGTGCGGAGCTTTGTCAGCTTCGGTTGCCCTTTTACTTGTTTCTGTTTTCAACTGATTTTAACAGGTTTTATTCCCCACCGCCCGGAACTATTTGTCGAGCAGTTAGCGCTTGGCGGTGTCACTGGTGGTCCCATTGACACCGACTACGATAGCAACATGAACAAGTTTTAGGAGAAAAACTTCCCAACAGATCCTCTCCTCTCCGGATCCTTTTGGTGAGGATTTTAAGAATCTGTGGATCATGTTCATTCATCGTATATCGTGCGGTTAATTTTTGTCAAGTACTGTTTATGTTTATTTTTAAATAAAAATATTTAAAATGATTTCTAATTGCACAATGTACGATAAACACATACGATTTACGAATCTCCGGAATCCTCACAAAGAGGATCCGGATTCGAAAACTTCAACCCAATTGCGAAATGCTTGCTTAAGAAAATTTAAAATACCAGGCAATCAACTATTGGTTTGGGATGCTGCTATTAACCTTGTGCCAGGACGTCATTGTGACTATATCAAAAACCAAAGGCACTGTAATATGAATTACGAAAAACATAAAACACATAACGTGGTCATTGATTAGGAACGCTGCGTTTTTTATGAAAATATTTTTGAAACCATTAGAACAAATGGAACTTTAACAAAAAGCTCATGATATAGTTTATTTTAATGAAAAATCATATTTTTACATTAAAAAGTCAATTCTAATGTTATTCACTTTACCCTTTATTTTGTTCTTATCGTTAAAACTCAAAATTTTCAAACATTCTTCATTAGTTTCCTTATTAAAAATCTAAACGGAGCCTTGAAAAATTGTGTGATTGTCGTGGATGACACAATACATACCGCTACAATGGTATTTCTATATTTGTTACGTTTGATCTTGTTGTATTGTAACAATTTGTGCTTTTTAGGAGCTAAAATGGATTTTAGTCAAGAAAAAATCGTCTAACTACGTTTAGCAGAAATTCTAAGTATTTTTATAACCCAAAATTAATTTCACCAAAAACGTTTTCAATCATTTTAAAGAGTAACGCTATTCATGCCATACTTTTGTACCACATTTTCATACCACCTTAGGTGTCATTTAATGTGGATAACTACATCGTTTGAATGAATCAGATTTTTAAATTTAGTTCATTATTTAATAAACTAATAATTAAGAAAAACTAGTTAATATGTCACCTAATATGGTATAAAAACATGATAGGAATAACGTTAAAAGTATCTTTAAAAACATTTTCAACCGAGTTATTTATACTTAAAATTTGAACAAGTCATTTATGTGAGTCGGACTCTGGTTACACGTGGGTATCTTCTGTGCAGGGAATGAGAAAGCAACAAGTGGATTTGTTTTCTTTTGGTCACAAACTCAAGAGTCCCACACGAAAATATGGAAACAGTTTCAGACGACCAACCAGAAGCACCACCACAACACAAAGAAGAAGAAAAACACAACGAAAAACAAGTGCAAGAGGAAGAGGAAGAAGAAGATGATGAAGAAGAAGAAGAAAGGCAGAGCTTCCCAGAAACACCATCCCCTCTGTTCCAATCACCATCTCCTCTATTCCAATCACCATATCCACCTTCCGGTTCTCCAACATCCTCCTCAGCACATCAAACCTTTCACGCTTATGAGCTAAGAGTCGCACCTGCAGACACCAAGCCAGAGATGGGTTCGATGGGACCACGGCGGTTGGGGAAGAGAGTGGCGGTAGAATTGGTGGAGGTTCGGGTGCAAATGTTCGAACTTTGAGACCCTAGTTATCGATACTGAAGAGGTCGAGGAGGGAGAGCGTGGTGAGGAGGGCTTTGTTTGGGTTAAGGATTTCTGGGTTTGTGTTGTGTTTGATCTCTTTCTCGATTATGGCGGCTGACAAGAACCAGGGTTGGGCTTTAGATTCCTTGTATCGCTACAAGGAGTTCAGGTTTGGCACTTGTCAGTTAAACACCCATATCGAGAAACCGAGAATATCACTGTAACGGCATGCAAGTCAATCACACACAGCCGTCCGTTTGTACTCTAATGAAAGTGCGTGATTGTCTTGGATAACATAATACCACTATAGTGGTATTTCCGTTTTTGTTACGTTTACTCCTATTGTATATTAACAATTTGTGTTAAAAGTGTTTTCAGTCAATAAAAAATCGTTTATGTTTTTTTTTTTTTTTTTTTTGAACGAAAAATCGTTTATGTTTAGCAGAAATTCTAAATACGTTTTCTAGAAAAAGAAAATCACTTCTAATATAAACGCTTCTAAGCAAAAGTGTTTTTTAGAAAAGCAATCACCATTTCATGGTAATTTTGTTGAATTATTAGTGTTTTTTTTGGGGGGCAAAAAGTAGTGCGTTTGAGGAAGATAATAAAAAGGAAGAAGATTATTAATTGGATTTGTGAATTTGATGTGAATTTGCAGGTTCTGCTTGGCAGTGAATGTGATAGGATATGTATAATCGGGGCTGCAAACTTATGATTTAACCTATTTCTTCACCAGTGGAAAGCATGTAATCCAGCACCATCTCCGCTATTACTTTGATTTCTTGTTGGATCAGGCAAGTGATTAATTTTAATATTATACTTAGGTGTGGTTTGAGAGTGAGGTGCTTAAAAAAAAAACACACATGAAAAAAAGCTGTGAGGGTTTTAGGTGTTTGGTAAACTGAAAAAAAAAGGCTTATTTTGGAAGCTGATGTGAGAATAAGCTGAAATCAAAGGAAAAAGCTGAAGCTGCTATTTGCAGCTTTGGAAAACTGGCTTTTTTTTCAAAGCACACGGAGCTACAGTGCTCCTTTAATGAAAAGATCCACGACTGCTTTTTTTTCCAAAAGCACTTTTACAAAAAAGTTTACCAAACACTCTGCTGATTTTTTTCACAGCTGCTTATTCTCACAACACAGCCGTTTATTCTTATAGCAGTTTTTTTTTAAAGCACATCAATACCAAACCAGCCCTTAATCATTCTACCTAATCTAGCCCCAGAAAAATTGTTGCTTTCTCGGAGGGTTGAAAATTTTGTATAAGGCAGCCGGAGCACGCGACCTGTCCGACTGTGCTCACAAAAAACGCAATGGGATCTTGTTTTATTATCATTCTCTGTGTAAGAGTTGTCATAGCTGTCTACTCAAGTTTCTCTCCCGGTCCAAACAGAATCGCATCATGAGATAATACTGGATCAATTGGTTCTCGACTTTTTTTTATTCCACCTTTTTTTATACCTTTTCTACTAGCCTTTTTGCCCAATAATGATTCTACATTTCCATTTGTGTTAATATTTTTTTTAGAATATCTTAAAACAAACATTAACATTAGCACAATGGAACAGTTACTTCTCTGTTACGGTAAAATCACTGATTTGAGTAGTGGAAATAGCATATTTGTAAAGCAAAGATAATGTTGCGTACGATAGATGATCACCTCTGATCCTTGCAAAGCGGTGAGCCTTGTTAGCTTGGGGTCACTCTATCTTAAAGCAAACATATTGGAATGACTTGTGTGATTGCTTAAAAATGTTAAACAACTTAAATTAGTACAACGTATAGAAGGGCAAAGATTTTCACACTCCTGGGTTTTGTTCTTCTGCACTCGTATCCTTGTTTTTATGTGGTCGCGGATTCTCCAAGCGTAAAAATAAAAACCCAACACATATTCAGCATTCTGATTACTTGCTGTATCCTCTATGTTATGTTATGTTATGTTATGTGAAACTTATTAGTTGAATTGGTTTTGGTTGGCATGTTTTTGAAATATTTGATTGGTTGCTTTAATCATTAGACGTCACAAGAAGATAAAAAATTTATTAAATGACATTATTATTTATCATATCGGCTCGAGCAAAATATTGTACAAAATGTCAAATTGTCACATAAGCTATCAACTATCATTTTGATGTTTAAAATTTGACATCTCCTTTAGAGATGCTCTAAGCATGGGACAATTTATAGCCACAATTTCAAATTTGTTTATGATTCTGATTAAGAAAGAGCTAGGTAGTTCCTGGGATTGATATATGGAAGAATATATGAAGGAATAATATGGCTGAATATTTCGTATGTATTGAAGAGAGGGTAAGTAGCCCATATATATACAAATACAAATAGAAAAGTCAAATCCCGATTCTAATCCTATAAAGCCGTGATCCACAATACATGGAATAGCCTTTCCTACTTTAGAAAAATACAATATTATACATTAATTACAATATATTCTTAATACTCCCCCTCAAGTTGGAGAGTGAAGATTACGAACGCCCAACTTGTCTCGCAACTTCACAAATTGATCCTTCCCTAAAGCCTTTGTAAAAATATCAGCTAACTGGAGGAGTGTAGGCACATACATAGAACGAATTATACCAGCTTGTAATTTTTCTCGAACAATATGGCAATCTATCTCAATATGCTTGGTACGATCGTGAAAAACAGGATTTGCTGCCATGTACAAAGCTGCTTGATTATCACAAAATAATGAAGCGGGAGTCCTCTACTTTCTCTAAGATTGTATCTCTAAGGTCATTGGCCATAGAATGTACTTCCTCTAAAGTATTCTCTTTAGTCTTAAGATCATCAGACATGGACGATGATATGCAATGTGTCGTGAGGAGCGTCGCTGCCTTGGCAGTTTTTGTTTGCAGAACAACCATCTGTGCGTGAAGTATGCAATTCACAATTCAGCCAAACAAAGAAAAATGCATAGCATGCATGCATGCATATATCCATGTATTTGTGTGTGCCTGAGACAAAGAAACAAAAAAAGAACCTGATTGTATTCGAGGCCGAACTTAAGGTACTCGTCATCACAATTCTCAACCATGCTGGCCAAGTTCTTCAGATTCTTCACAGGCATACCATTGAAAGTAAGAACCTGCACATAAAGCAGAATAATTTACACAAGTGTATCAGATGTTAATGTCAGCAACAAGTACCTAGCACAATTTGAGCAATGTCACCATAAAACCAGGGTAACAAGAAACTATACTAATATCCAAAAGCATGAGAAAGATAGAATGCGAGATATAAACCTGAGAAACAACAACGAGCTGTTCGTCAATAGACTGTGCCATTGCATGTAAATGCTTGTCCAACAGTTTGGTTGGAACGTCAAATATATTTCCAAACTGGAAATAAGAAAAAACCAAGGTTAAGATCTAGCAACATAGTTTTTATCTAATATGTTCGTTTTACAATTAAACCTGGATACATTTGGCAGAAATTATTGAAGGCATGGTTAAAGTTGAAAGCAAGGGCACACCTCGGAACGCAGATATGGAAGGGATACAGCTGTGAAAACAAAAGGAGGTTTTCCCTCAATGTGCGACGGGATGAGTTCCTTGTGTTTTGCAAGTTTAACGTTGAACTCAAGTGTCTCAAAGTTCGGAAGAACTTTTACTAGAGCATGCATTGTCACCTATGTATTTTTGAAAGACAAGGTAACTGAAACCTATGCGCTCTCCATGCCTGAATGGAAATAAAAAAAAATTACAAAAATTAGTGTTATATCAAGAAGCTTATGGAACACTTCATCTGGGAATGTTCAAATGCCACTCTTCTATAAATAATCACCAACACACGCGTGAACGCAAAATCGACTAGAAAAGAGAACAGCTGCTTTAATTCAAAACCACACAAAGAGAGAGTAATGCTTTCTTACATGGAAATTTGAAGGAAACTGTGTTCATGACTCAACCATCTGGATTCATTAATCAAGATCACCCCAATCATGTCTGCCATTTAAAGAAGTCTCTCTATGGATTGAAACAGGCTCCAAGAGCTTGGTTTGAGAAGCTACAGTCTACATTAATTTCTATCGGATTTCAAGCCTCTCAATCAGATCACAGTTTATTTGTCATTCACAAACTAGTTCTAGTTCTAGTTCTAGTTCTTGTCTATGTGGATGATATACTTGTGACTGGACCTTCTTCAATTGCTTGTAGTGATGTGATATCTCAGTTAAGTGTTCAATTTCCTGTCAAAGACTTAGGAGATCTTCATTACTTTCTTGGGTTAGAAGTACAAAGGTCTTCTGTAGGAATTTTTATTCATCAGTCTAAATATGTATTAGACTTGCTTAAAAGGACAAAAATGGATGGAGCAAAGCCATGTGTTACTCCTCTAGGTTCTGCCAAACTTGACAACACTGGTGCATTGCTTGAAGATCCTGCATAATATATAACAATTGTTAGGGCTCTTCAATATCTTACTTGGACAATGCCTGATATTTCATTGTTGTTAACCTTGTCTGTCAATTCATGCATTCTCTAAGAGATCAACATCTTCAAGCTGTAAAACGGATACTGCGATATCTCAAAGGTTCTTTTGGTCATGGTTTATGGTTTCCAAAGGTTTCATCCTCTCTTACATTCAACCTTTTCTGATGCTGACTAGGCCGGTTGCTCTTGGGATGGACGATCAACTGGGGGTCTTTGTGTCTTTATTGGCCCTTCACTCATTAGCTGGAGTGCAAAGAAGCAACACATTGTTGCCCGTTCATCCACAGAAGCTAAATATAGGTCTTTAGCTCATACAACCACAAAAATCACTTGGATATGTCAATTGTTTACTGATATTGGTTTTTAGTTATCTGTTTTACCTCAAATTTGGTGTGACAACATCTCTACAATTGGTTTAGCCTCAAATCCTGTCTTCCATGCTCGGACCAAACATGTCGAAATTGACTACCATTATATTAGGGAGCTTGTTCTTGCCAAGCTTCTCACAGTTCAATTTGTATGTAGTCAAGATCAGCTCATTGACATCCACACCAAATCACTTTCTCGACAACGGTTTCTTGATCTGATATCCAAGCTTTCACTTCAACCTTCTCTGTTTAGCTTGAAGGGGTGTGAAGAGAATAATAGAGGGTCAAAAGTTAGTGTTAGTTAGAGTTACTGTAGTAATAATTCTTTTACCTTTCTTTTGTGGTAACTTCAGTTAGGTGTTGTTATATATACTCTATAAAATTATTATCTTGAGTTAATGAGAAAAATTTCATTTCCTCAATAGGTGCTTGTTGTTGACATTAACATTGGATACGAGGACATTGTGAACACTCAGGTTAGAGATATGTTACACTACGATGATGTGATGAAATTTTTGAACTTCCACTTTAACATACTCATTCAAAGCATTTGGTTTCCGTGTAGGTTCTTGCTTTCAATGGTAAGCCTGTGAAAATCTGAAGCGTCTGGTTAGCATGGTGGAGAATTGTGACGACAAGTACCTAAAGTTTGATCTAGAATACAATCAGGTTTCTCTCTCTCTCTGCACAGGCTTTGTACTTTTCGTTTGGTGGCTGAATCGCTTAGCTCTCTGTGCAGATGGTTGTACTACAGACAAAAACCGCCAAGGCGGCAACTCTAGGTATACTCCTTACACATTGCATACCTTCAGCTATGTCCGATGACCTTAAGTCTTAAGCCTTGAAAGGAGACCTATTCCCATAGATGAAGCTTAGAATGCTCATAGAAGGAAGGGAAACATTTCATTCTCCTACGGAGAACAGAAGCCGGGAATTAATCTGCCATTTCTGTCATAATCAGCTTCTCGAAGTATCTGCAGACGTTCGACCGCGTGATAACGAGGACTTCCCTATGTTTTTGTATTCATATTAGCCAGTTCTTGTTACAGAGCAGAAGAAAGCAGCGAGGAATTGAAGTTCGGTTTTTCCTAGGATTAGTTAGCATCATCCTTTCTGAGTTTTGTCAGTTTTAGTACCAGCTAAAAACATGTGAGATGTTCATCATGTAACATTTTTACCGGCTGATTTATTTGAGAATAATACTATACAAGTTGGATGGATTGTACTATAAAATTGAGGGTTGCATTGACGGAAAATTCTACCATACAAAAATGTACGTTATATGATCTCTTATTGTTTACTTAGGAAATGGTTTTGATTTGTGACTAAACGGGTACGCTCGGGAGGTGCCGATCCCTATTAAAATTCTTCAAATTCTTGACTTCTCATGTGTTTACTCGGAAGTTGATTCCGATTTCCGACCTCTTATGCTTTTTACTAATACATTTGTGAGTTTTATGTTCCAATTTGTTATCGAATGCAAATGCATTCTCTGTATTTGGATAATTTTATTTAAAAGCTCAAAATTTGAATTTCTTTTATTAAACATCCATGCCTTTTAGAATTTTGATCAAGACGCTTTGGTACATTAGGCCACATAAGTATTTCTTATATTTTAAATTAAAAATAATAATTGTATTTTTTAAATTAAAATTTTACATATTGGTTTCTAAATTTTGTTGCAGTCATGTTAGATGTCATATCCCGACCCGGGGTCCACCACATCCAGGGCCCGCTCCACCACCGTAGCACGATATTGTCAACTTTGGGCCCCAACTACGCTCTCACGGTTTTGTTTCTGGGAATTCACACGAGAACTTCACAGTGAGTCACCCATCATGGGAGTGCTCTCGTGCACTACTCGCTCCCAAAATGCCTCGTGCTAGGTAGGGATGAGAATATATACATATAAGGATCACTCCCCTGGGCGATGTAGGATCTTATAATCCACCTTCCTTAGGGGTCCGACGTTCTCGTCGGCACACCACGGCCAGGGTTAGGCTCTGATACCAAATTGTCACATCCCGACCCGGGGTCCACCACATTCAGGGCCCGCTCCACCACCATAGCACGATATTATCCGCTTTGGGCCCTGACTACGCCCTCACGGTTTTGTTTCTGGGAACTCACACGAGAACTTCCCAGTGGGTCACCCATCATGAGAGTGCTCTCACGCGCTACTCGCTTAACTTCGGAGTTCAAATGGAACCCGAAGCCAGTGAGCTCCCAAAAGGCATCGTGCTAGGTATGAATGAGAATATACATATAAGGATCACTCCCCTGGGCGATGTGGGATCTTATATTAGATTAGGAATGCGATTGTGTAAATCCTAATATATCTAGAGATATCTTTGAATATTTAATATCCTATTAGTTGTAATCCTAAAAAGGTAAGGAATTAGCATTCCCTACTACTATAAATAAAGGCACAATGTGATGGAATAGAGCACACCTCACAATTACACTTATCTCTCTTCTCTCTCTATGCCGCACCCCATCTCTCTCTGGCCTCTATAATTGTTCATTAAATTATGCCTACATCAAATTTGTCCTTTTAATTAGAGAAATTTTTTTTTTATCCGGCCATTTTTTTTATTCATGTGTTTTAGGAGTTGTAGACTCTTTTTTAGGAGATAATTTTGGTTTTTTCGCTCAACATATTTATCCAATTATCTCTTTTAATTTTTGTTTTCGTTCAAAACATTTTTTTATCCTAAAATTGAAAAAAATAATTGGAATGATGGACGCTTAGATTTTTTTCTTTGTTTATTATTTAGTATACTTTTTGTTAGATAATTATTTTGTATACATTTGAATTTGTAAATATTGTTGATTAGTGATAATGGTACGTTTATTGTTGGTTATCATATATTGGTTTTGTATTGATTGGTACGTTTATTTTTAATTTTTGGGTGTACATATCATTGATTGGTACGTTTAGTTTTGGCTTTTGGTACATTTAGTTTTAGCTTTCGGTACGTTTAGTTTTGTTCTCGTTGATTTATAGGTTTTTTTTCACGATTTTGTTATGATTGTTTTTGTATACATTATGGATTGTACCATTTAGTATCATATGGGTACGATTAATATTATACATATCGTTGATTGGTACATTTACTTTTGTTGTTCAACGTTGTTTACTAGTACGTTTATTCCCGGTTTTAATAGGTTTGTTTTCATACATATATTTTTTATTGGTACGTTTGTATTATTCTCGATGTTATTTTCTTATATGAATTACTACAAATATCTTAAATGGTATTTTATTTCTTCATTGAAAGGAAAAAAAAAATCAAACGGCACGGTATTCTATTCCTTAATAAATTGTATATAATCATTTTTTTTGTATAATTATCTTTAGAGGGAATCAAATAGCTAGATTGTAGGAAATTTGTTTCAATATCTCTGGATTTTTTCCTGACGTGAAGAATTTAGGCAGTGGTAAGATTTGTAATTTTGGTACAAATAAAGGATAGTTATGATAGATGAGACTCCAAATTTAGGCAGTCCTAAGATCTGTAATTTTGGTACAAATAAAGGATAGTTATGATAGATGAGACTCCAAATTTGTAGGAAAAAATGTTTAATTAAATCTCCAAAACCAACAAATGTTTAGTCTCTAGAGTTGAAAACTCAAGCACTTATATCAAAACGCCCATTTTCCAATTCACAACTTCTTGCGTCCCATGTAAACATACTTCGAATGTGTTTTTCATTTCAACCAATCCACCCAAACTCAAATCAACCCATCTTTTCTTTTAAGACTATTTTACATTACTCTAATATAACTGAATTTTAACTCAAATACATAGGAAGCACGTCGGCT